ATACATATGAGAACACCAAAAAGCTCAGAGAGTAACTTTCCGAAAGCCACACAGCTAGTGAGGCAAGTGGCTGAATTGGAGCCCAATTCTGGCTGCAAAGTCTGTGTTCCTTCCTGTACATTATACAGATTCTTTTTCCATCTTTGCTCATGTTCATTAGTATTTCCATACTTTTTGAGCAGAAATACGTAGACATGTTCTTCTTGGTGTTGTAATCACAAAAAGTGTGAATTACATGCCTTCTTTTGTAAGATTGTATATTCGTTTGTTTCCATAGTTTTCAAAAGACAATTTCACTTGAATTTTGCATATGGTATTTTTTTCAACTATTCTGAACCTAGTCTATTTGATTTCCAGTGTTTGATGGTCTAGGTGATCTTTTGATGCCAACCATGGCACCAGCTGGGCAGCCTGCACCTGTCTCAATGGTACCACCCAGTCCCGCCATGGCAGCCAGCAAAGCCCTTGGGAGTGATCTTGACTCATCCCTTGCCAGCTTAGTGGGCAGTGAGTAATCGAGTTTCCTTTAACTCAGCCATAGGTGAATTGGTGTTTTCTTCCTTGCTATCTTATGTTTTGTTTTTGGATTCATTTATGGGTAAGTATATCAAGGACTAGATAGAAATACATAGTGCTTTACCCAGTGCAGTTCCTTGGAAGACAAACAGCTGCTATGCCATTGTCTCATAAGCAATACCCATGCCATTTTTAGTCTAAATTACCAAAGATATAATTAGGGAGCATATACAAGTACGAAACCAAGTACATTATGTGTAATAAGGAATTAGTTTTTCCATTTCTTTGGAAATAAGAACATTGAGTAACTTATATTAAATTCAGTATATTTACAAATTTATTATCCAAATGAGTTTCACTCATTCCTTTAACAAATATTTATCGAGTACTAAGCATTATTCCAGGGTCTAGAAATAAATGAGTGAACAAAACAGATAAAAATTTCTGTTCTTATGGAGCTTGGGAAGGGCAGAGACAAACTTTAAGATAAGTAAATTCTATAGTATGTTAGATCATAAGTTCCATGGGGGGTAAAAACAGAACAGACAGAGGGGAGTTGGGAGTGCTACAGGGTGAGAGTTAGAGTAAGCCTCACTGAGGAGGTAAAATTTGAGCAAAGATTTTGAACGTAAAGGAATGATTATATGGCTGTATGAAAAACATTTTCAGGCAAATGAAATAAATAGTCAGTGCAAAGACATTGGGGAGAAATTTGCCTGGCAGATTCAAGGAACATGAAGGACTGACTACTGGCTGGAGCTGAGTAAGTGAAGGAGAGAGTCCTAGGAGACGAGGGTAGCTATTATTGTAAAGGTTGGCCTTTGCTTTTAACTCTAAATTTGATTTTTTTATTAAGGTGAATGGGTTTGTCATCGCAGATATATTTCATTATTTAAGTCAGTATCAAAAGTTGAAGAGATCATTGGTACAGACTTCTTTACTTATGCATTTTCCTATGGATGTACTTTTTGTTTCTCATTCATTACGTTTCACCTGAACAACCATGAAAATGCTTTTATAACACCCATGGAGAGGTTATTTGAATGTTTCCCCCTACTCTAAAATTTCATCTCACTGAATGGTTGCTTTTTGTAGATACTAGAGTGTACTACCTAGATCCCCTTTCAGAAATAAAGGACTCATACCTCCAGCTACCAGCACACAGCCTTTAGCTGTCAACCACCTTTGAGAATTATCCCAGCTGGAAAAAGCTAACCTGTTAGAGCAATAGCCAAACAATTTTGAAAAATTTGAAGGACTGATGTTTTCCAATCTCAAAACTTCTACAAAGCTACAGTAATCAGGATAAATGGTATAAGGATAGACACATAAACCAATAGAATAGAATAAAAAGTCCAGAAATAAATCCTCATATATAAAGTCAAATGATTTTTGAGAAGGGTGCCAAGACCATTCAACAAGGTAAAAGACAGTTTTTTCAAAAAATTGTTCTGGAATAACTGGATAGCCTCATGAAAAAGAATGAAGTTGGACCCCTTCCTTATACCAAGAAAATTAATTCAAAACTGATCACAGAACTAAATGTAAGAGCTAAAACTATAAAACACTTAGAAGAAAATGTAGGAGTAAATCTTCGTGACCTTAGATTATGTAATGTTTGGTTTCTTAGATATAACACCAAAAGTACAAGCAACAACAGAAAAAAAATAGATAAAACTACATCAAAATTAAAAATTTTTGTGCTATAGGTGATACCATTAAGAAAGTGAAAGGACATACCACAGAATTGGAGAAAATATTTGCAAATCATTTAGCAGATAAGACACTTGTATCCAGAATAAAGAACTCCTCCAACTCAATAATGAAAAGATAAATAATGTAATTTTAAGATGGGAAAGGATTTGAATAGACATTTCTCCAACAAATATACACATGGCCAATATGCATATGAAAAGATGGTCACCATTAGTCATCAATGAAATGCAAATCAAACCCATATAATCTCCATCTCAGAGCCTTCTTCCCAGGGGACCTGGCAACAGAGGCACAAGCCCTCAGTTTAGCAGTCCCATCTGCCACAGAAATAT